GGCAGAGAGAGAGGAGGAAGCAGGCTCCCTGCTGAGCAGAGAGCCTGATGTGGAGCTCAATCCCAGGACACCGGGATCATGACCTGAGCTGAAGGCAAAGGCTTTAACCCACTGAGCCACCCAGGCGCCCCCAAGGAAGGGATTCTTAATTCAAAATTACAAGGGTGATTCCAATGACAGCCTTGGCTTTGGAGCTGAGCTCCTGACTCAGGATAGCAAAAGTGCAACTTCAAAGTAGCCACTACCGGGGAGTGGACTGGCACCCTTGGTGGATGTGACTGCATCGCAGACTAAAAAGTACCGCGATTATCTTCTTCTGCCACACCATCAAATGCTCACAATTTGTCTCTGTTTCTCATGATGCAGCCTTCTTTTTTTTTAAGATTTTATTTATTTATTTGACAGAGAGATCACAAGTAGGCAGAGAGGCAGGCAGAGAGAGAGAGAGAGGAGGAAGCAGGCTCCCCAATGAGCAGAGCACCCGAGGTGGGGCTCAATCCCAGGACCCTGGGATCATGACCTGAGCCAAAGACAGAGGCTTAACCCACTGAGCCACCCAGGTGCCCCTCATGCTGAAGCCTTATTTTTTAAGTGTAGGGAAATAAGCATCTCCTTATTTTTAAAGGAGAAAATGGTATTTAAAACTTTAGAGGAGAAAATGTTTCAAGGAGGACAAAACTTAGGTATTCTCAGAAGAAAAATTCCTCTCAAGAACTGGAATTATTAATGGCTTGTCTTATTCTCAACAATGTTCCTATTTACCATGTAGAATAGGGCAATTGTGAAAACACACACTCTTTCCTGTTGCATGAGAGCCAAAGACATTCTGGTAGGCAAAGGGATTTATCTAACCTCTCTTTGTCAATACAAGCACATCTCAGAAATCCTACTTCTACAAATGTTGCAGTTTTTTATTTGTAAAAGGTTAGAACACCTCCATTTTTGAACCTCCAATAGCTCCTAATCATAAGACCTCAGTAGGAGGCAGACAAGAATAAATCACCTGCTCTGTTCTTATTCAAGTAAGCAAGAAAACTATTACTCTTCATTCATTGTTCTTATTAACTTCTGGATAAATCATACCAAAAGTATTCAGTGATGGCTTATGATAGGTAAGGCACTGATGATACAGAGATTGGTATAGGATTGACAAAAATGCAGAAGGTAGGGGTGCCTGGGTGGCTCAGTCCGTTAATCATCTGCCTTTGGCTCAGATCATGATCCAAGGGATGCTGGGATCAAGCCCCACATCAGGTTCCATGCTCAGCAGGGAGTCTGCTTCTCCCTCTGCCTCTGCTGCTACCCCTGCTTGTGCTCTCTCTCTCTCTCTCTCTCTCTCTCGCTCTCTCTCTAGCCCTCTCTTAAGTAAATAAAATCTTTTTAAAAATGCAGAAGGATATTTTACATGTTTCCTGCACCTGAACAGTACTTTCTGCCAGATTATCTAACAATAATGTTTACATTTACCTGGACTTCACACTGTAGTATCCAGAAATATACTTACCAAGAGTGGAAATTAAGGTTATTTTAATTACGCATTAAGATGATATGTAATGTTTAGAGACATCCCCAAATGTAATACACTACCTTGATTTTCTGCACAACATGTTATTTTTAGCAATTTCCATGACAAACAGGCTTTCTTTGATTAGTTTTATTTGAATAAAGCAAAACTTGAGGTAAATGGTCTTCCAGGTGACTACTTTTTGCACTTACATCCTAATATAACACCTTTCTGGCAGCAAAGGTCTTAGAACATGCTCTCAAAATTCTCAGGACATGAACTGATGTTCTGACAGAAATGAGCCCCTCTTGCATTCCTACTGGTCATTGGTTTTCTTGGGCACAGGAATCTTGGATTCCATAATATTTACGGCTTTTTGGAGGATCTCTAAGATTGGTGCCAGAGTTCTGACAATTTGCTCCAACTGATTTACAACTGACTCCATGGTATTCTTGAAATGTTCAGCTTTTAACACATCCTGCAATTTTTTCAAGATGTCTGCTGTACCGATTTTGGATGGACCTGGACTTTGGTTTTTCTCTGAGGTGTTGGCCTCTGATTGGTCTTTGGTGTCTTTTTGATAGAGGTCACTTAACTGAAGTTTCATGATAGGACATGTCATCAAGAGTGAAAGAGAAGATTCCAAAGTGCCAAGGATGTTACTGCTATTCAGTGCAGCAGCGATGACTGGTGTCTGAACATTCTTGAATATTTCTCTAGCTGATGGCTGCAGTTCCTTGACATTGGCACTCTTCTCAACCATAGAGCAAATCGCTGTTGCAATCTTGGAACATAAAGGTTCCTTTTGCATCTGGTCGTACTTTGCCTCCAGGACACACTGTATCTCCTTAAAGACTGTAAATAGTTGTTCAAAGACATCCTTAACGTTAGCATCTTCCTTCACAGTCAGGGAGTGGATCTGGGTATTCATAGTGCTGTTAAACGATTCTATGAATGTGTTAGTGAAGGCAACAAGATCTTGCATGTGAAAGAAAAACGTTTTGGCAGCTTGCACCAGCCTCTCTTTATCCTTTTCTGACTCTGAAGACATTTCTCCAGCACAAAAGTTTCAGCACTGCAAAACAAAGTAGTAATCTGGATAAAAACTTAAATTATTTATTTGTCAACCGCAAAGAGACTGCTCTTAAAATCTAAATGTGGAAAATAACTGCTGTCAAGGGTAGGAAAGCTTCACCAGCTATGGAGCAGGAATTGATCCTGTGCTTTAATAAAAATAACAACAAAGATAATAATTAAAAGATTTTAAGCCAAGATTGAATATCGTGCACTGGACCCTCAGTTGGATATGCTGATACACGGAGTAACCAATTCTCACGCATTATCCTCAATAACTATCAGATCTAGTGGACAAGAGTGTACAAAGCTTAAAAATTACATAGAAGGGCTCTGGTTCCAGTTAAGATAGAGCAAGCAGACGTGGTACAATCTTTCCTACGGAGTAGAACTAAAAATCCTGGACAGAAAAATAAAGTAACTATCAGATAACTCTGAAAGGTGAGTAACAGCAGACCAAAGAGGTGGAGTACTGCACTTCGAAGAGGATAAAGGCCATCTGACACCAACTCCCAAGACGTCTGTCTTGCCTGAGAATGTTTCTGCACTTTCAGTACAACTCATCCTCTTCTGCCATAGAGAGGAGTGTTGATGTCTCTAACCAATGTTCACGAGGAGCGTTCTGGAGGAGACACAAAAAGATAGGACTGTGAGCGTAACCCCAGCTGTCCTAAACCAGAAATCCACGGGCAAAATCCAACCAGCCGATGTGCTATGTTTGACCCAACAATTGCTTGTATCAGCTTCCAAATTTAAAAACTGAAAGATAGAAATCTGCATTGCTATTGCTTATTGAAAAAAATGAGATGAATTGGCAGCACAAAGCCCACAGTATGAGTTAGAAAAAGTAACTAGATCTGTGGCTGCCCTCTTCAAAGTGGGCTTTTACCATCTACACCCCGTGGTCTGACACTAAGTGTTTCAACTACATGCGTCTTGTCATACCCACTAGTATAGTTTATATTAAGTAAGCTTCCTGAAATCCAAACCTCCTCATATTATCTCACAATAAAAAAACTTCAATGATTCAGTATTGCCGAGTGAATAAGATACAACTTGCTGGCATGGCGTTTAAGATCATCTAGACTGCTCTCAATTTTCCACTACTCCCTTCCCTCACTGCTCTCGCGTATATCCTGGGCCACCAGTGTAACGGACTAAGTTTATGCCCTGAAAATGCTCCCAACATTTTGCCAGCCCCTTTGTTCATAGTATTCCCTCCACCTGCATCCTCTCCTCCCTACCCCACCCCACACATCTGTTGAAATCCTACTTGTCCATCCATACTTACTTCAGATACACTGTCTACACACATCCTATTTCCCTTTTATCCCCGTACCTGGTAAGCCCCAGGATATGTCAAGTGCAAAATGATCCACTGGGATGGAAGTAAAATCGTACCCCACTTAGTCCTCATTTAAAACTATAGAACAGCGCCTTTAGATTTTATATATCTCCTAGCTGGACTCTCAGTGTTGTATCCTCTACCCACCCCATAACAACAGAAATGACTGTTGTTAACATTAAGACAAATGGCTACCATTTAGGAAGGCTTTGCCATATATCAAGCACTCTGCCAAATTCTTTGCATGCATTAGCTCATTTAATCCATACGACAACCCATCAATTACAAACTAATACATCACACAATGAAAGCCTGGGTTGCTCAGTCGGTTAAGCGGCTGCCTTCGGCTCAGGTCATGATCCCAGCGTCCTGGGATCAAGTCCCACATCGGGCTCCTTGCTTGGTGGGGAGCCTGCTTCTCCTTCTGCCTCTGCCTGCCACTCTGTCTGCCTGTGCGCGCTCTCGCTCTCTCTCTGACAAATAAATAAATAAATAAAATATTTTTTAAAAAAAAGAAAGAAAAAAGTTAAATTAAGTGACTTTTCCAGGGCTACATGGCTAGTAAGAGATATTTGGATACACAAATTCAGGACTGTCCAGTTCTAAAGCCCATTTTTTTTTCCATTAAGTTATGGGGGCTGGGGTGATTGTTTGCTTCTGAGGTGTCCCTGCTGTAGAGGAATCCATGGAGGTGAGGACTGAATGTAGAGGGAAAAGCACGAAAGACTCTGTTCTAAGCTTTAAGGGAAAGGAGTCAAGTTAGTCTTTAAGGCTTTCCTATGGTCAAGGAATTCACCGACACAGTGAGAGATGGTGATAAAGAGCAGGAAAGAAGAGCCCACGCACAAAAACCACATTGGGCTGCAAATATCTGGGTTTTTATCTCTTGAGAACAGAAACAAAGGCATCAGCAACAGACGGAGGTCTGAATGCAACAGAAGGTAAAGGAAACTTATGTGTGGAATAGCTGGCAAGACAGAACCGCAGAACCTGGGAGCTGCGCAGAGCCATCATCTCTGCTGAGCTGGATGAGCTCGGCCATACAGCAGTTTTCAACCATAAAGTCCATTAAGGAATAGACAGTTACACGTCTCACCGCTTTATTCACCTTTCAAATTAGATGACTTAATACATACTAATTTTATATTAATATCGGAAATAGAAGAATTCAGAGAATGAGGATTGCAGAAATAGTAAATAAAGCGGACAGGCAGAGGGACCCAGCAGAGACCAGCAAAGGCTGTAAGTCATCACATTCCATGGAAACATCCAGATGAAACCAGATGGAAAAGCCCTTTGACAATATTCCTAAACAACCACTGGGACTACTGAACTCAGAAACACAGCAAGGTAAGCGATATGGCTATTTCTACTGGTATTGGTATGATATTCTGTTTCTCCGGATTAAAGGGTCTTTGAAATAACATGTCAGTCTTGAATCCTAGCCATAAATGTAATAAAGTCACAAAACAACTTTGTTTTAAGAGGATCCGATGGCAGCTTCCTTCTGAGTATTTCTCTGAAGACACCAGATAAAGAAGAAAATGAACAGCTTATGTAACTGATTAAGTCAGAGGGGAAGAGAAAGCAGTAAAGATAGCAATTTTAGAAAGCACTGAGGACAAAATGACACCTGTGTATTGTTTACATGGATTGTAGCATTTCTTTTTATGTCTCTAACATCAATATAAGTACTCAGGATCTGTGAAAGAAGGAATGTACAATCTAATACTAGTTAATTTATAGAGTTTCTGCTCCCTCATAAACTATATTACATTTAAATGCTGTCTGTCTCCAAATAGACTGTTATCTTCTTGAGGGCAAGGAACATTGTCTATTCTTTTTTTTTTTTTTTCTAATGTCTTAAGGCATAGAAGCAGAGGATTCTCCCCTGAGCATTTAACAAAGGCTGATGAATGTCACTGATATTCTGCTTTCTGGTCAGAAACATTCTTTAGAACTTACATCAGAAAGAGTGTCATCCCACCATCAACAACTTCTTGGTTTTGTTTTGTTTTAATTAAAGGCCAGGGTTTTGATTTAAATTAAAGGAGGAGTCTCAGAACTAGTCAGTAACTGCTATTTTCTCTTGAAAAGCTTCTGGTTTCACCTGTCCCCTACTCCCAAACTCCCAAATAAGTGAACTTCCCAGGATAGCTGGACCCAATATAGGATAGTGAGGAAAGTGACAGCAGGGAGAAATGGAAAAACCCAGAGAGCATGAATGACTCAACACTGGAGGCTGAGATGTGTTTTCTTTGTCTCTTTTCCCTTAATTGTTGCTATGGGAATAGTTCAAACATACACAGAAGTGGAGATGATAAAATAATCAACTGTCATATACCCATAACCTAGTGTCAAAAATTTTCAAAACAAACTTGATCTTATTTCCTCTGTAACTCTATTCCACACTCCCTTCCAGATTCTTTGGAAGCCAGTCTCAGAGATTATGCATATCATATCATCATTAACACACCACCATGTATTTCTACAAAAGCAAAAACTCTTCTTTTTGAAATTTAACTCTCTGCTTCCCAAATTAACAATATATATTTAACAGAACTATCTTTGGCTTCGAAACATACACAGTGCCTTGCTATAAAAATTTACTTTTGATGGTGGTATAAAAGTTTTTAGAATGCAATTTGAAATACATATCAAAAAATAATAAACATAATAAAAACTTTAATTCTCATGGATTATACAATTCTTCTGGAAATTTATCCTGAGGAAATAATTAAGATAATTGGAAATGGGGGAAAAACTGTGTATTAAAATGCCCACTACAATACTGTGATAGGGAAACAACCAGGTATTTATTAAATTATGGTTGATATCTTATGGAATATTTCATATAATAAAATTATTAGAAAACTAAGAATTTGGGCAGATATTTAAGTAAATTGAGAAGATGAAAATATTATTTCAACTTGGGAAAAATATGCATTTAAATAAACTTTAGGAAGGAACAATGAAAAAATTTAAGATGGTAGGTTTATGGGTTTTTTTCTTTATTTTTAAAGTGTTTATATATTAGTTGAACTGACTTTATACTTTAAAGTACTTTTTTATCAAATCTTTTACTTATAATTTCTTCATGTTATAATTCTACCATCTATCAAAACATGTATCACTTGTCACTTTCTCCACGAAGCTTCCTCTAATCATTTCAATATAATTTCCTTCTTTAAATTTCTATAACACTTGACATTTACTACTGTTATTCACAAAATTATCCTGAGAATTTTTTATTTGAATATGTGATAATCAATACATTTTCACTTTGGAAAGTGATTCCTTTCCCCAAAACACTAACTCTACAGTATCACTAAATAAATCTTAACTTTTAGAGACAATACATCAATACATCTCTACTATTTCTTATACACTCTTTGATCTTGAATGTTGATCTCATTTCAAAAAAATTGACAAGGTTAGTTTCAGTGAGAATCCATTTCAGGTTAGTCTTTGTTTCCATTCCAGTTTCAGAAGATATGCTGACCACTGGAATCAGCATTTCCAAGTTTCTTTTATTGTCTGAAATAACAAGTAATGTTACATATACAATAACAGTGCATGTGATTTCCAAACTTCCTTTGGCAACAAAGCAACAGAACTCTCTCATTAAATTAAATTTCAAGCACCCACAGTCCAAATACAGCAACAACCAAGCTCTGGGGCTTCGGCAAAGGCTAGGGTGAAATAAGGATGCTGGGGAGCAAGAGCGCCACCTGCTGGCCAGAAATTCTTCATCGGGCTGCCTTACAGCTCTTGAGGACCTACCTCATAAACCCCGGCAACAAAATACTCAAATAACGGTAGAAACACAGCAGTTCAGTAGTGGATGTTAACTGTGCAGAGTGAACTTTTCACAGACAGTGAGCACTATCATCTGATAATAAACAATGTAAAAATCACATTTATCACACCAATGGTGCAAGTTTAAGAACTGGATTAAGAATAACATTTAGCTACTTATAAGCGCCAATCTTTTAAAATTTATTTATAAAGTGACTTTGAAATTACTTATAAGGGGTGCCTGGCAGGTTCAGTCAGTAGAGCATGAGAGTCTTGATCTCAGGATTATGAGTTCATCCCTGTGTTGGGCACAGAGCCAAACTAAAAAGAAAAAAGGTTCTTATTTTTTTAGAGATTTTACTTATTCATTCCAGGGGCAGGGAGCAGAGGGAGAGGGACAAGCGGATCTCAAGCTATGTGCAGAGCACAACGCAAGGCTCGATTTCAAGAACCCGAGATCCTGACCTGAGCCAAAACTAAGAGCCAGACACTCAATCAACTGAGCCCCCCAGGCACCCCAAAAGAAATGTTTTCTTTTTAAGATTTTATTTATTTATTTGACAGAGAGAGACACGGTGAGAGAAGGAACAGAAGCAGGGGGAGTGGGAGAGGGAGAAGCAGGCTTCCTGCCAAGCAGGGAGCCCTACTCCGGGCTCAGGACCCTGCGATCTGACACTTAACGACTGAGCCACCCAGGTGCCCCAAGAAATGATTTTTAAAAGACTGAATTTTAAAGTCAATATTTAAAAGGGCATGCCTGAAAATGTTGTAAGATAGAGAAAAGTATGTATGGCCCAGACATCTTTTAGGTAAATATTATATATTGTTGGTAAGATATCCCTTAAGGCCTGCCGAAGTAACAACTAGGATCTTCAAGGAGGGTGGGTCCAACTGATTGCAAGGCTTTTGTTTTGCTGAGTGAAGTAAACACTTTGCAAGTCAGAGCTTAGCTTAATTGTCAGGGGCAATACTGGAAATGCTGCACTTTGCTAACTGTTTTTCTGCGTGGTGTATAACCTCTCCTCTAAGTATCAAGCATGTATCTAAGAATAACAGTTTGAAAGGGAACAAATTATTAACCTTCTCTAAATTACTGAATATTTCCATATGGCCCTAATGTTAATACATATTAACCTGCAGATTGTTGAAAATTTGAATTTGCACAAATGAAGCACGAGCCCTATAATTTCAAATGACATAATACTTTCAGCTCAACAAGTGGTTTGAAGTCTGGCTTAACTATTTAACTAGATTAAAAATGCCATAAAAGCAGGACCCATGTCCTTTTCATTTTGTGTGCTCTCTAAAGCTCGGCATGTTACCTTATCCATAGTAAGGTACTAGTCCATTAGATAAATTGTTACTGAATTATTAAACTGCTTCCTTCACCAGGCTCTTCAAATTTCACCTGTCCAAAAATAATTCATTAGTTTCACCTTCAAACCCTACCTCTTCCTCACCTAATTCTCTATTGTTTATCTCACTGTTGGGATGAAAATAATGTTGAACTGTATTCAATCCTGGGAAGGTATGATGGCAGGCCTGCTGAAGATCTAGAAGGTGTAAGGAATCCTTCCAAAGTCCTTCCCCAACACAAAAGGAACTAAGGAGGTAAGCCCAACTCAGAAAAATACAAGTCCTTTTATGTTAGATTTGAAAAATAATTCTGAGCACATTATGATGTCTTACTCAAACTTGTTACTGACAAAGAATTATAGACTGCTATCTGGAAACTGGGAGGAAGGGTATAAAAGTGCACGTGTCAGGCCTTGGGGATGTAAAAGAAAGAAAATATAATTGAAAATGTACTTGGGTCCTTGATTTCTGGTAAGATTGAAGTCTTTTCATCAATTAATTAGCTACCATGCTTTTACTGTACAGAGCTGCTTGCTCATTTAGCTGTTAGATAGCTACTGTTTTTCTTATTGATAGCAACAGTCATTAGAAATTCATACTTCATTTTTCTTGCATTTTTCCCAGTTTCTTTTTAGTTCTTTTTACATGGTCATCCTTGTTTGTCAAATTTTTGTGTGACTTTTTTCCTTTGGTTTTAAGCTTATAAAGCTTCCTCCATACAGACATTTGAAAATTATCAATTTTCTTCTATTTTATCATTTTTTTTAACAAATATTACACTAACTTTTTAAAAATTAATTTCTAGGGGCGCCTGGATGGCTCAGTGGGTTAAAACCTCTGCCTTGGGCTCAGGTCATGATCCCAGGGTCCTGAGATGGAGCCCCGCATCTGGCTCTCTGCTCAGCAGGGAGCCCTGCTTCCTACTCTCTCTCTGCCTGCCTCTCTGCCTACTTGTGATCTCTGTCTGTCAAATAAATAAATAAAATCTTCCAAAAAAATTAATTTCTAGGGATGCCTGGGTGGCTGAGTCGTTGGGCTCAGTCATTCGGCTCAGGTCATGATCCTGTGGTCCTAGGATCGAGACCCACGATGGGCTCCCTACTCAGTGGGAAGCCTGCTTCTCCCTCTCCCAGTCCCCCTGGCTGTATTCCTTCTCTTACTGTCTCTCTCTCTCTCTGTCAAATAAATAAATAATCTTTTAAAAATTTTAAAAATAGGGGCACCTGGGTGGCTCAGTGGGTTAAAACCTCTGCCTTCAGCTCAGGTCATGATCCTAGGACCATGGGATCGAGCCCTGCTTCGGGCTCTCTGCTCAGCAGGGACCTTGCTTCCTCCTCTCTCTCTGCCTGCCTCTCTGCCTACTTGTGATTTCTGTCTGACAAATAAATAAATAAAATCTTTAAAAAAAATTTTTTTAATAAAATAAAATTAATTTCTAACCCCCCAAACTAGCCCATTGTGCCAGGAACATTTTCAATTATTATTGATTTGAAAGTCTACATTTATCATATATTAAATGTATAGAAGAGTCTGTTTCCAGAACTATTTTGTTCCATGATTCCATCTACTCCTGCAACCTGTACAATACTAATATTATTTTTATGATGTTTTAATATTTGGGGAGGATAAAGTCCCAACATTACTCTTTCCTGAAAAAAAAAAAAAAGAAATCTCATCTATTAGTTTTGTTTGATTTTGTTTCAACTCTTAGAAGAAAAGAAAAAGAAAATGGAGTCCTCTACATCTGTGTGGGACCCGGGTACATTTCTCCTCAAGTAAATAGCACCCTGATTTTTTATTTTACGATTAATTTGTCAGGGTGTGTTAAAACAATAAGTTAAGGGGTGCCTGGGCGGCTCAGTGGGTTAAGCCTCTGCCTTCAGCTCAGGTCATGATCTCGGGGTCCTGGGATCGAGCCCCACATCGGGCTCTCTCTGCTCAGCAGGGAGCCTGCTTCCTCCTCTCTCTCTTCCTGCCTCTCTGCATACTTGTGATCTCTATCTGTCAAATAAATAAATAAAAATCTTTAAAAAAAAAAAAACAGTAAGTTAACTAGGAAGAAACTGACCACTTGGAAGCATTCAGCCTCCTATCCTGGAGGAAGGCTCATCTCTCCATTTGTTTATCTTTAGGCAAATAGAACCACATACCTTTTCTGGAAGCTATGCCTTCAGATAAAGGCAGATGGTAGCTGCTAGAGATATTTTACACTTTCTCAGGCTAAGAAAGACTCCTCTTACCTAAATATCTGAATAGGAATGTAGTTGATGCTCTTCTGAATTCAAAGTGAGAAACTGGAGTTTTCACTTCATGATAATATCTGAAAACTAGGAACCAAAAAAGAAAAAGGTTGAGTGGAAAATTTCTGGAAGAAAAAAGGAGAAACAAAGTCCAGATTCATGGTTATCAAAGTACAGTTTTGCCATCAAATGGTGAGTTGGGGAATATTTAATAAATCCTCAACAATTTCTTTAAATGAAATTGAGATATTTTCTAAATACTGTTGTGGAAATTTGTGTAACACATGGGTGTGAGAGTGTGTGTGTGTGTGTGCTGGATTTGAATCAAAAATGCAAATGAATTTCTGACTGTGATAAGTTTATTCTGTTAGGGATACCAAGGCGTTTTTCTAAACTGAACAGCGTAAATGATTATGTTCCCAATCCATTTAAAATCCCCTTCCTATTTCCAAATTATATCTTTATGGCTTGGAGGAAAGGCTCTTTTCATGTTTACTTTCTTGAGAGAAAAATATCATTCCTTCATTCTATGCTTGTGAGATTCCTCATATGTAGGCTAAAAGCCATGATATCAGTCGATAGTGCCCAAATTCATTAGGATGTTGTTTACTCAAGAGAGAATGTGCCAGACACCACAGAGATTTCATTCTCTCTTTTCTTCTAAGAGTTTCAACTAAAAATTAAAGTGCCAACCACATAGTAAGACTATGCGAAGTATGCATATTGTAAGATTGTTCTCACAGGCCTCAAATTTTTTAACCAAATAAACTCTGAACATGCTTGTTCCTATTTTCTCTGCATAATACTCTAAGCCAGAAGAACAAACACAAGAAGGCTCTGGCCTGATTCATTGTATTCATTCTACTGCATATTCTTGCCACTTACTCTTTAATACTTTCATGAAATGGCATTATTTCCTTTCTAAGGCCAATTCTAGCTAATCTTCACTGTGCTCAAGTCCATTATAAACCAGTCTAAATAATTTAACTTCTAAGCTTTGAAAATGGAGACCACAGAGGTAGTCATAACCATGCTGTCCCTGTACCATGCCCACTCTCTCCCCTAGTGAGATTTTAATCTAAAGAATTAATATATACCCTTAACATGAAAAATTTTTGTAAAGATTCTGTGTGTTGCCTTTGATGTCCCCTAGGCTTAGAGAAAAAATAATTTGTTTGTAAAGACATATAGAGTAACTTTAATATTAGAAATTAAATTAACAGTCTATAAACAAAATTAGACATTAATAACCCTGTAAATTCAGAGATTTTAATATTCTTCTGGCTCTACTAATTTATCTTCCAATATTAGAGAAATCAATCTGGTAGGTGTATTCAGTGTGGTGAGTAGGGTCTGGAAAAATTAAGGAGTGCTGGTAATCAAGAATCAACCATATCAAACTGCAGTCTATGTCAAACCTTATTAAATACAACTTAGAAATAATCACATTAATTTACTAATAATCAGATGCTTGATAAACACAGATTTTCTTATCTAGGATTTCTTTCTACCACAAAAAAAACTAATGCCTCATTTATTGCATCGGTAGATGGCATTGTCACCCACATTCCCATACACAGACTCTAAGTTTCATAAAAATAATTGTTTTAAAGAACCTGTTGAGTTTTCTGAGGAATTCCTTAGATAGCACAGTGCTATTTTTCTACTCATAAAGTAAAAGATTTCTTGGTCAAATGCACACAGACAGCAGGTATTTTTCAAAAATTTTAGTGAAGATTTACTACTTTATTTTTCAGAGATTATATTTGAAACATGTCTCAGAGTGACTTCCTCTACCCAGAGAATCCACGGAGAAGGCAGGAAGTAAACCGTCTTCACCAGCAGCTTCTTGACTGTTTATCTGATAGCTTCCATGGTACTAATAAGCTGATTGAGGTCTTAAACATACACTTGGGGTGCAAGTTGGCCTCCATCGAGATGAAAAGAGATGGGACCATCAAAGAAAACTGTGATATCATCATCCAAGCCATGATGAAAATCCAAACAGAACTGCAAAAGGTTGATGAAGCACTAAAAGATAAGCTAGAGCCAACCCTCTACAGAAAACTTCAGGATATTAAAGAAAGGGAAACAGAGAAAATTGCAATAGTACAAAAGGTCATTTCAGTCATCCTGGGAGAAGCTACTTCTGCAGCCAGTGCAGTAGCTGTTAAACTTGTGGGCTCAAACATCACAACTGGCATCATTAACAAGCTGGTCACTGTGTTAGCTCAAATTGGTGCTTCTCTCCTTGGTAGTATAGGAGTTGCCGTTCTTGGCCTTGGCATAGATATGATCTTCCGTGCCATCCTGGGAGCAGTGGAGAAAACACAGCTTGAAGCAGCCATTAAAAGTTATGAGAAGCATCTGGTGGAATTCAAGTCAGCTTCAGAAAAGTATCATCATGCCATTACTGAGGTCACCAACACAGTGAAACACCAAATGAAATGAACAGCCACGGTGCCACTGGAATATTTTTCTATGTCTCTATAATAGTGTTTTGCTTCTTGCATTAGGTTCATTTTCCATTAAGTTTCCAACATGGACAGAAATATAGTTAATAAGTTGGCAAGGTGGTTTAAGAGATGCTAAAACTAGAGGACTCCAGAGTTTTTTTATCAGTTGGGTCTAGACCCTGTGAGGCAGAAGATATATCCCAGGATACCTTCTTACTCTGCTCTACCAGATCAACATTACATTAAATGCTATTGTAGAAGAGCAAGTCTAGGGCTTACTTCTTCCTTTTCTTTTCCCCTAAATTCTTAAAATTTACTCTGAATAAAGAATAACTTTCATTCCTACCACTAGCTTCAGACATCATTTAGTTCTAAGGGGATGTACTTAGTAACTTCTGCCTAGACACAAACTGTGGACCTTTGAATAAAATGGAAATACTACCATAATTTTGACCTTGAGCTTAAGAGCAATTTTCAATAAACTAGAAGAGACTGAAGTATGGGTTGTAACAGTTTACTTTGACGATCAAAGGACGCAAGGGTTCTGTAACTTCCACTGATTACACCCTATAAATGCAAATGGATTTTTAAAAGATAAAAGTTAAGGGGGACCTTGGTGGCTCAGTGGGTTAAAGCCTCTGCCTTCAGCTCGGCTCATGGTCCCAGGGTCCTGGGATTGAGCCCCGGAAGGAGCCCCACATCAGGCTCTATGCTCAACGGGGAACCTGCTTCCCTCTCTCTCTTGCTGCCTGCCTCTTTGTCTACTTGTGATCTCTGTCAGATAAATAAATAAAATCTTAAAAAAAAAGATAAAAGTTAAAACTGAACAGATAAAGGTTCTGTTTCTATAATTGCAATCAACCCTGACCAACTGTGGTGTGATGCTTAAATATTCCTCATGGGAATGTTTGAACACTCTGGAACATTTAAAAAAAAAAAAAAACACTTGAACACCCTGGAACATTTGAAAAAAAACAAACATGCAAATCCCGGCTACACATATATAAAATACATTTGGGATGCAGGGGAGGAAGCTGTTACTCTTTTAGGAATTTGTCATTTAAAAGAGAGTCATAATTTATTATATGAGTTTTCAGAAAAGTGAAACTTCCTTTTCTACACTAGCATAATGAAGCTGTCCTTGCTGCATAGAACTTTAGGTGCCTCATTTCATTAAATACCTGATTTCAGAAAAATCCAGAGGCTAAGGAGGCCTAATGGTTCAGTTAATTTCTGCAGACACAGTGTTTTCTAAATCTTTCACCAACTAATGACTCCCCATTGTGACTCTTGGGTTCTACTTACATAATCATTAATAAGTTGGTGATGTAAGAATGTTTTTGTTATAATTGATTCTTGCATCTTAGTACAAGAAATGTGCTGAAATTTTAAAAGCTCAGTATATCTCAAAAATTAAGCTAGATCAAAGACTCTAATTTTTCAAATGTACTCTTCATTTTTCTCTTTCGTCACTGCTTCTTAAATTAGTTGCAAAACTAAATTAGTTCATCTCCAAAATTAAATTTTATTACCTAACTTACAAGTTCTAAACTACAAGACCTTGTTATTGCTCTTTCTGGGACTCGAAATTCAGTCTAAAACCAAATCAAGACTTTTCTAAGACAAAGGGTAGTTTAGTAAGGAACTCATCTTAAATGTTTAAGTGCACATTTAAAATATTCTGTTGTTAAAAATTAATGAGTATCTCCTTCAGTATTTTGGAGCATTTATAATTGACAGTAAGAACTGACCGATACCTAACATAGTTTCCTAGAAGGGATATTAAGATCAGAAATAACCAAGGGTATCTCTTAAAAGTATAATGTTTAAATATTAAACTTACCCTTAAGGAGAAAAGACAGGATAAGAGTCTTAGACTAAAAGTGGACAGAAGAGAAGGGAAGGACTAAGACTAGACCTAAGTGATAATCTGTATGTACGTACAGTGACATCATAAAGGACTTCTAGCTGGTGAAAAGACCAAAAGGGAAAAGCAGCCAATATAAAGCAACCTCGCCACTCGTAAATTTAAAACTGACTGCACGTGTATCCCCACATCTCCTCCTCAAAAAACTCATTGAAATTACGGTAATTTCTCATAGATGAACAATCTCGGACTGCAACACGGGACCTGATCTCTTCGCTCAGGTCTACCTATGTTCTGTGTGCCCGTAAACTTCAGACGGGCTTGACGCCGGGAAAGCGCAACAAGTGCAGTAGCAAATGTTATTCAGGGATCCACTTTCAAACAGACACTATCTGTTTTGATAGAGATCGCGCTCGCTTACATCACGAAAAAAACAAAATCAAAAACTAATACAACTCCAGCCTACAGAGACTGCAAAACCGCTCCCGAACTGGGATCGGCCACTCATTCAGCTCTATAAACTCAACTTCCGGCAATTGAGTCAAACTGTCTCGGGCCGTCTTCCCACCAGCCAATCACCTATCCGACCCGCTTCGTTTTTCTTCTTTCTATTGATCTAAAGAAGTGTCAATCAATGTGGTTCCGCTCCCTGGGGGCGGGACCTTAGCCGAGAATCAACTAATTCGGTACTGATTTGCAGCGGAAGAGACTCTGGTCCGAGAGTTCTTGGTTACTCTCTATGGTGCCAGGGCGGAGAAACACTAAGATCTGAGTCCCTAGGCATAGGAAGTGACGTAAGGATGGCGGAGGGGCGCGAGCTTTCAAGATGGCGGTGGCTGGGTGGCTGACCGGCACACAGAGGTGAAGGCCCCTACGAGGTAAAAGAGGCCGAGAATCGTCCCCTCCCCGCTTCTCGCAGCGCCAGGAGTCCAGCAGAAGTGTGAGTGTGCAGAATTGTTTCACTCCGTTTCTTCATCTTTTCCCGCGCCGCCCCGGGGCCGCGCAGTTGCCTCGGGGACGCCAGGCCCCTCTGCCCGGTTCTTCCTCTTCGCGGCTTGGGTCTCCCCGGTCACGGACCGGGGGATCTTGGGGCCGCGCGGCTTCCAGCAGTTAAGCAGCTGTTCTCCCGAGTCGGTTAGCGCCGCCTCCTACCTGTGCTCGTTGACCGGTTGCTTTAGATTTGACGTCTTCTTGTACCTCGAGTCAGGGTCAACCGTCGCTATGGGTTCGGCAGTTGCTGCTGCTGTTGCTTCTCTTGGTGGATCGGGGCCCCGTCCCACTGCAGCCTCTTCGGTTCTGTGGCCCGATTTCCCTGCCGTTTCTGCTTTTGGGCAAAAAGTAGTTTGTGCAGATTAAGGCTCCGTGGTCTTCTATAGAAATGCTCTGTAATTCCTGTCTGTCCTTTGTTTCCCTTGTGGGAGAAGAGGGTCAAAACAGGAGCCCGAGGGTCATTGAGAGAGGACAGCAAAAATGGTAACAGGCCATCAAAGACAGGAGAGCCGGTATTTATACCAGTCGTGTTTCGGCCTCCCTTCTCCCCCACTACCCGGGTTTTCTGAGAAGGAAACCCTGGACAGGATAAATTAGTTGCCCCTGGAACAGCTCCGAAGCATTTAGCAGAAATCAAGGCATTTGAACGCTTGCTGAAAGAGGCATTAACTAATGAACTTTTCTGACAAAAATCGTTAAGGAAAGGTATAATTAATTGTATGGGCTACACCTCATGATCTTCCCTTTCACACCCTTTAAAAGTCTACTTTCAAAAGGAAGTAAATTTGTCAACTTTATTATTGGGAAGAATAAGTATTTAAAAGTTAAACAGTTGAAATAAGAGAAAGGAGTAATATAGTAGTATCTTAGGGTAATAAAAATTTAGACTTGCAGAGCATTTTTTCTCAGTCATCCCTTTCAGTTACCATTAAAAAATAGAAGTCGGGAGCCAAGTAGGTACTAGTAGAAAAATAGGCGTCTGGACGTTTTTGGACACTCCTTCATGTAATACTTGGATTTTTAATATTTGCACTTTTAGTTATGTTTTACGCTCTTGAGAATCAAGAATTATATGTGAATTAGAACTAAACTTGAATTAAGCAGGCTTAAATTAATGAGTTTTTACTATCTTACAGATGTTGTGAATACATGTGAAGAAAAACGTAGAGAGGGACAAGGGTGACATTTATTGTTTAACCCACATCACTACCTCCATTTCCTTTTTATTCCTCTTTCACCCTACATGTAAACAAAGGAAGGGTGTAGGGAAAGGACTAATGGCTTTTCATATTCATGGTTTATCCATGTTGTTGAAGCATTTTCTGATTTTTTTTTTTTCAATTTCAGAGTCAGTCCGTGATCTATTAAAAAAAAGTTAATAATCAAAGGAATGTTACTTTTCAAGAGATTGGTAGAAAGAAATTTCATAAAATAAAAAGAAAGAAATTCTGTAAATATTAGAAGAATAGCTATTTCTTTGTCTTTGCAGGTTTTTTTGTTTTTCTGTTTTAATGAACAAGTAAACCATACAAATTGTCAACATGGGACGGAGATCGACATCATCCACCAAGAGTGGAAAATTCATGAACCCCACAGACCAAGCCCGTAAGTGTCCATTAGTGTGGAATGATAAACAAGAGGATTGATAAATTTGCAAACACTAGAGAATCTGTTACGTCTTAATTATAAAGTCAGCATTGCTAGGTGTCAGTTGTATAAAGTTATTCAGTGTTGTTGTGGGCACATGATGAAAACTTTAAGCATGCGAAAAAATTAAAACCCATTTTTTAATTTGATTGACTTGCGAAGTGGAATTGGCTTGAAACTTTCTTTTTGTATTTGAAATTTTGGACAGATTAGTTTTGAGAGCTTACAAAAAAATATCTCAAGATTTTGGTTGGCATAATTAAGGGTTGCTGTTGGCATCTGGTGGATAGAGGCCATAGATGCTGCTAAATATTCTGCAGTGCACAGGATCGCCTCCCACATTATTGTTATCTGTATTAAGTTGGACAAAATGCTAGTGTTCAAGATTTGAAAAGTTTTGTATTTTCTCCCTCTCTTAAAGGAAAAGAAGCCCGGAAGAGAGAATTAAAGAAGGTAGGATTTCAGAAGCATCTTATTAGTCTTAAGTGATGTTTGGCGCATCTTATTATTTGGGATTAGCAGATTTCCAAACATTATTTATAATTGTTTGTCAGAAAAGATACTTAATGCTTTTTACAACAAACAATAAAATTTATTTAGCCAAAATGCTATACTTGGAAACTTAACTGAAATAACTTTGCAGATAAGCTCATGATGGTTATCATAACATTATATATTTGATTATCTTTCCCACTGAGTTAAATAAATATCTTTGAAAGGAATTTTTTTTTTCTGTTAAAGCATATTGCTTTGTTAAAAGCAACCAAATTAGTGAATGGAAATAAATGTGATTCTAAATGGCTCTGTGGGTTCATTTTCCTCATTATGTAGCCATTGAGTTTGTGGGAAAGTGTTCTCCCAGAATAAGGCAGTATTTACTTTTTAGTATCATTCTTTAACACACTGAAAGATTGCAGATTTTTAATAGTTTTTAACTGGGTTTTCCTGGTTCATTGTTTAGCATCAAATCCTGCAAAACTTTTCTTTAGTTTATGATTTTAGAATTTAGCCCTAAAAAAAATCTTAATTTTTTTTAAGTAATTGCTTAAGATACCACAAAATTTAAAGAAATACCTGCCTGAGAAAGTTCATGTAATAAATAGTGTTTATCTTTTTGTGTAAAGTTAGCTATTTTTTGAGAGCCAAAAATTATGTAGCCTTGGTTATGGTAGTTGAAACAAGTGATCAGAAACCAAGGAAAAGTTCAACTTCAGTTTCAGTAGATTCTTGATGTAAATCGAAATAAAAACTCAGGAATGTCCAGTTTCTTGACATAGTGCTCTTTTTTTCCCTAAGAACAAAAAACAGCGCATGATGGTACGAGCTGCAGTTTTGAAGATGAAGGATCCCAAGCAGATTATCCGGGACATGGAGAAATTGGACGAAATGGGTAAAAATTTATTTTAAAAGACTAGATTTTAGAGCAGGACTAACAGTCTGATACACAAAGGCAGGCAAGCAGGTAATGACAAAGCAGCATAGGCATGAGAAAAACAGAAAAAAGCATGAAAACGTTTGACACTTGGATTTAGTTTTAGTGTCAGACAAAATGGAGTGATGGGGAGCAATTGCGCTCTGGGGATCTCCTCTAGAGTTAGATGAATGCCGTTATTTAGCTTGAATTAGTTATTGAGGGAAGACTGAAACCTGGAGTTCTTGTTTTTTTTTTTAATGTTGGCAGCTACCATGTAAATCTAAATATTAGACTACCATGAATTTATCAATTCCCCACTTTTTCCAGCGTGAACATCAAAGACAATTGACCCACTAAGGTGGTAGAAAAAATCATGAAATACTTAAAATCTAATTTTATAGAATATCATATGTATCATATTGGGATAGTCTTTTTTCACATTTCTTTGAATAATTTTACTCAGTTTCTTCATACGCATTTTCAGTATCACTGCTTTTGTCATAACTGGAATCACAAGATAACTGCATGTTATCTTTCCTTGCATCTGAGTTGCTTGAGAATTGTCTGTGTGATGATGCTGCTGGAAATTTTACCGCAACCCACAAATACCCATTTTTTAATACTAGAATTTTTATTTTTTCTGCCCTTTTTTTTTGCATAATGAAATGATTTTGGCAAGTTTTGTTTTCAGAAGTTACTCAGTTTAAGTGGCTTGCCAAAAAATGAGAGTAAAAAGTATAAAGCTTCACTCTTAAATCCACATTTAAAGTCTTAGGAAAGGATCTGGTTTCAATTTGGATCATGCACCAGTTGATCTCTGAGTCAGTCACTGGGGAGGGAAATGTAGGGAAGAAGGTATAATTGACCAGGCAAGCTTGGGAGTGTTGTGCTAGCAATCCCTTTTGGGGCAAAAGACCTGAAATTAAGCCCCGTTTTGAACACATGGAAAAAGAAAAGATTGTATGGTAGTTAGAGAACAGCAGTTATAAAAAAAATAATTAAAAGTGGTGAGCTAGACACCACTGGATATTTTGTGGTCACGTTCAGTCATCAGTTTCATTGTGAAGTACTTGATGTCCCCATTTCCCAGATGAAGAAGCTAAAGATCACAGAATTCAAATGCCCAAGATCTCAGAATTAAATGACAGGTCTGACTGAAGCCTCACAATACCAAGTTACTAGCGTAAAGGAATGAAGATTGATTTTTATTACAGTGATGATGAAAATCAATTAGGTAATGTTAGACTTTTCTTAAAAGAGAAAGAAAAATTAATGGCTTATCTTTAAAAGGGTAGAGTATCAATAAATATCCATTGCACTTCTTTTTAATAAAACTTTAAAAGTGTATACCTAGTCTGAAGCCTTTTTAGAAGTTTTAGTGTATAAGGAGATTTTATTAAATGATAGAGCTAGCTGATTCCTAAATGAAGTGACTTTTTGTGTTGGATTTCAATATCTGCTCTTTTCTCTCAGAGTTTAACCCGGTGCAGCAACCACAGTTAAACGAGAAGGTGCTGAAAGACAAGCGTAAAAAGCTGCGTGAAACCTTTGAACGTATTCTACGACTCTATGAAAAAGAGAATCCAGATATTTACAAAGAACTGAGAAAGCTAGAAGTAGAATATGAACAGAAAAGGGCACAACTTAGCCAATATTTTGATGCTGTCAAGGTAATCAAGTTTCTTTAGAGAGATAAACTAAAATGTTTTATTTAGATTTGCTCTTAAAATTGTTAATGGGAGAACTGGTCATGATGAACTTCTTCCTCTTGGCAGTTTCTTGTCAAACTAAAGCTATCCCACGAACTAGCAAATTTAATGTTACGTACTTACAAGAGCAGTTAATCCATCTGCCAACACAGTAATAGCCAAAAACTGGAAATAGCCTAGATGTTCATTAATAGGCTAATGGATAAACAAACTAGTATATTTGTAAAATTGTATGTACTCAGTAATGAAAAGGAATGCTCTACTAATACTGAAAACAATATGGGATTAAGAAAAAAATTTTTTAACATAAATCTCAAAGCATGTTGAACTTCTTTCATAGTTAGGATTCCATTTGTATGAAATTCTAGAACAGGCAGAACTATAGATTAAAGCATTTGGTATGTTTTGTTCTGTTATTAAAGATTTTATTTATTTGACACAGAGAGAGTTCACAAGCAGGCAGACAGGCAGGCAGAGGGAGAGGGGGAAACAGGCTCCCCGCTGAGCAAAGAACCTGATGCAGGGCCCAATCCCAGGACCCTGAGACCATGGCCCAAGTCAAAAGCAGAGGCTCAACCCCCTGAGCCACCCAGGCGCCCCAGATGAAAGTATTTGCTTTGGGATAGTTTGGGGATTGATTGAGAAGTATGAACTATATGCATTTGTCAAAACTCAGAATTTAGGGGCACCTGGGTGGCTCAGTGGGTTAAGTCTCTACCTTCGACTCAGGTCATGATCTCAGGGTCCTAGGATGGAGCCCCGCATCAGGCTCTCTGCTCAGCAGGGAGTCTGCTTCCCCCTTTCTCTCTACCTGCCTCTGCCTACTTGTGATCTCTCTCTCTCTGTCAAATAAATAAATAAAATATCTTTTTAAAAAACCCTATTTATATATTTCATTGTGAATTTGTCCAAAAAAGTAAAAAAAAAATAAATAAATAAACCTAATTGTATCATTTTTTGCAAAGTAAGTAGTATAGGTCCCATTTTACAGATAAGGAAACTAAGGAACTTGCTTAGTCATACAGCTAGTATGTGGCAGAAATTCAGCAGACTAATTTTAGAAACCCAAGCTCTACTACTGAATATATACTATTTCTAAATCAGTTGATAAATGCTGTTTATCATCCAGAATATTTAATAGAGTGGCTTTGGTCCTAGACACTTTTAACAGTTGGATTTCTATAAACAGCTATTTCAAACCATAACCCAAAAGGAAAAGTTAAGGATGGGAGTAAAACAGCTGAGTTTTGTTTCTTTTAAAGGTGATAGGGATTTTTTCCATTCATTGACCGACTTTGGATTGTTTTTCCCTGATACTTGTGTTAGGTGGGAAGCAAATCCAGGTTATAAAACAGCAGATACTGAATTTTTAGTGTTGAGTTTGTGGATTGCACTGATACTATTGAACTTTTTTCTCTATTTCAGAATGCTCAGCATGTGGAAGTGGAGAGCATTCCCTTGCCAGATATGCCACATGCTCCTTCCAACATCTTGATCCAGGACATTCCACTTCCTGGTGCTCAGCCACCCTCCATCCTTAAAAAGACTTCAGCCTATGGGTAAGGAAGCGGTAGCATAATTAAATAACACTTCTTAAAAGTACCTTTTAACTGTCCAGTGCCAAAATTATTGCAGTGGGAATTAAAAGGCAGTGTGAACGTAAGCGATGCCTCACTTGAGTAAATGTAGAGTAAGAAATCCCTTGAAAATATTTTTAGAAGAGGAAATAAATACCTCATTACTGTGAATGTGATTATTGTGGAATTTTCTTTCAGACCTCCAACACGGGCAGTTTCTATACTTCCTCTTCTTGGACATGGTGTGCCACGTTTGCCCCCTGGCAGAAAACCTCCTGGTCCTCCCCCCGGTCCACCACCTCCTCAAGTCTTGCAAATGTATGGCCGTAAAGTGGGCTTTGCCCTAGATCTTCCCCCTCGTAGGCGGGATGAAGACATGTTATATAGCCCGGAACTTGGTAAGGAGTGACTGTTCCTTTTGCTCTTGTGACCTTTCCGCTGTCCTTTTTTTTGTTGGCCCTGTTTAACATCTGGTTCACTGTCCTCAGAACGTGAGAAATAAATGAGGTTTACATGCACATACTAACAAGATGTATAAATCATAGAATTCACTCAAGTAAAAGCAGCATACATAAGGAAGTACAGAAGTGTTTATTGTGTTTTAAATTAGGCTTTTTTTTTTTTTTTTAGAAAAGATTTAAAAAAAAACTGTTACCAGGTGGAAATATTGTCAGACTGTGTGAAGAACTGTCATATACAGAATCATTTTACATAATGAGGTTACTCTGACTTAAGTAGCACAATTCTCTGCTTTGGTATACCATATAGAGCAGGGTCCAATCATCTTTGTTTCCTGATCCCTTCTCCTTTTCAGCTCAGCGGGGCCATGATGATGATGTTTCTAGCACCAGTGAAGATGATGGGTATCCTGAAGACATGGATCAAGATAAGCATGATGACAGTACTGATGACAGCGACACTGACCGATCAGATGGAGAAAGTGAAGGGGATGAATTTGTGCACCGTGATGATAACGAGAGAGACAACAATGAAGAAAAAAAGTCAGGTATGTGCAAATGAAAGTTCCATGGCTTGATCCATAAGTAGCGCACAAGTTGAAGGTTCTGATTTATTAATGCATCTTTGAAAGTAATTTTGAGCACCTTGAAAAGAAGCGTCACAGCTCTATTCATTCTTACATCAAAGGTCTCTAAAAGTTCCGGACATGTAATACTTGGTGGACATTTGTGGGTTTGGATAAGAAAAAAGGAAAATAACCACATAACCATATTGAGAAAGCCATAGTCACATTATTGTTTTTTGAGAAGTCTGCTTATTTACATTTGAAGCCATTTAAATTTTCTGTGTTCATTGTGTCTCACATCAGCCCAGACCATAATTATAATTTAGCTATACCTGTGAGTGGAATCATGATCTAATGGAAGCATCCATAATGTATGATATATGTCCATTTGATTATTATAAGATCAGACTGAGTTACTTGTACTTTTAAAAAGTCATTATGACATTCATCAAGAAAATTTTTAAGATTCATGATAGATACTGAACAGTACAAAATATATGATCTGTCACACCTTGGTAGTCTTAGAGTTTCTTTTAAGATTGTTTTTGTAAGGGTGCCTGGGTGTCTCAGTGGGTTGAGTGTCTCAACTCTTGATTTCAGCTCAGGTCATGATCTCAAGGTTGTGGGGTCAAGCCCTGCATTGGACTCTGCCCTCAACGCAGTGTTCCTCTCCCTCTGTCCTTCCCCCTGCTTGTGCATGTATATGTGTGCTTTCTCTGTCTCTAAAATAAATAAATAAGATTTTTTAAAAAAAGAAATAAATTGGTTTTGCAGTGTGCACCACCATATTTATGTGGTTGTAAGACTACTGTTCATATTTGTAATGATGACAAATCTTTGTCCTGCTATTTCTTAAGAGCCATGGTTTCAGGGGCTCCTCAGTGGCTCAGTTGGTTAAGTGTCTGCCTTGGCTCAGGTCATGATCCCAGGGTCCTGGGATGGAGCCCCATTTTGGGCTCCCTGCTCTGTGGGGAACCTGCTTCTCCCTCTCCTTCCTGCTCTTGCTCTGTCTCTCTCTCAAACAAAAAAATAAAATCTTAAAAAAAGAGTCATGGTTGCAAACCAAAAGCTATCTTAACAGGGTGCATAGAGCTGGTAATGAAGAATTATCTAGGACTTATGTAGAAGCCAGTACTACAAAGAGAAAGTCCTTAAAGCCACAGCAGCTTCGTTTTTCTCTGGCATTGTGTGATCCTCTTTGCCTCATTTTTCTCTTTCTGCTACCTTGTTTTACTTACGTGTACTCACCAAAGTTCATGTGCTTAATGTGGCTCTCCTACTAGGATTTGACATTTATCTAATATTTACACTGAGTTTTTACTATGTGCAAGGAATTTTCCTAGACAAAGGGTACAAAGTAAAGAAAACTAAAGCCCTGCCCACGTGGAACTTTGTAAATGTTTACCAACTAAGACTGCTCCTAATATTGCACCATTTAGCAAGATGTTTAATAGCGGGTAGCTTCATTTATCGGGTGAAAAAAAAGGTCCCTTCCAGTCTTAGTTTGCTAAGGTTTTTTTGTTGTAAATATGTTTAAGTGTTCAGATGCTGTTAGGGTTTTTCTTTAAGTTGTTTATTATAATGAACTATATTCATGGCTTTTCTCATGTTCAACCTTATCTTACATTTCTGGGACCAACCCTAAATGTTTATGATGTGTTTTTCTTTTAAAACACTGTTGGATTCAATATGGTTATAAAATTGGCCCTTGAACAACACAGGGGTTAGGAGCACCAACCTTCTACACAATCAAAAATCCATGTATAACTTTCAAGTTCCCCAGAACTTAACTACTAATAGCCTATTGTTCACCAGAAGTTTTACTGTTAAGATGAACTGTCGATTAACACACGTTTTGTATGTTGCATGTATTATATACTGCATTCTTGCAGTAAACTTCGCTAGGGAAAAGAAAATGATGTTGAGAATTCATAAGGAAATACAGTCACAGTACTATACTATCACAAAAACCCATGTGTAAGTGGACCCCCCTCAGTTCAAACCCATGTTCAACAGTCAACTGTATTTTACAGTAGGTTAGTTTTGGAATCAAGGTTGTGCTGGCTTCATTAGTTCGGGATTGCGTTCCATCTTTTCTGTGCCTTTTTATAGGAAATTTCTATTTAATGTTTGGCTGAACTTCCTTATAAAATTATTTGGGCCAAGTTAAAAATAGATTTCTAACTACCATTTCAATTTTATATGTTCTGGTTTTAGCACTTCTGTGGCCAATTTTTGTGGTTTATATTTTTCTAAATGTCTTATTATTTTATCTGGGTATTCCAATTTAACTGGCATAAAATTATTAATAGTATTCTTTGAATTTTACAGATCTTAAATCACAATAGTAGTTTACCAACCAGTTGGCACTTCTTAGACTATCTTTTATATGGCTGACTCTTCCCAGCACTTAATTTCTGCCAAATAGTGGGCAGCAGTCCTATCTACTGCTTTCTAGTATGATATAGTATGCATTTGCTGAATTTTGTTGTTCCTAATCCACACCATTCTCTCCTTCCACCCTTTAGGTCTGAGTGTAAGATTTGCAGATATGCCTGGAAAATCAAGGAAGAAAAAGAAGAACATGAAGGAGCTGACTCCTCTTCAAGCCATGATGCTTCGAATGGCAGGTGAGACAGGGAGAAGAGTAATCAAATCACCTTTCAAGTATTTCTTCCTGCCAGTTCCTTTATGTACATTTTCCCACTTAGTATCTCAGCAACCCTGAAGTGAGTAATAAATCCTTATTTTACAAAAGTTATGGTTTGGAGACATTTGGAGACTAAGCTGCCCAAAGTTACTCAGCTAGGAAGTGGTTAAACTGGCATTTAAATCCAGGTCCTTCTTGTTCTAAAGCCCAAGCGTGTTTCACTGTGCTCCACTAGCACAGATGAGTAGAATATTGTTTGATTGCTCCACATCCAAGTAGTTTATTGAAGAAGGCTCTTCAGTTCATTTTAAGGAAGCACTTAATTGAGCACATGTCTTCAGGCATCACTATTTTGTGGGCTGTAAAAAATGAATCAACTCCATTTACCTGGTTTAATATTTCTCTTAGGTCAGGAAATCCCTGAGGAGGGACGAGAAGTAGAAGAATTTTCGGAGGATGACGACGAAGATGATTCTGATGATTCTGAAGCAGAAAAGCAATCACAAAAACAGCATAAAGAGGAATCTCTTTCTGATGGCACATCTACTGCGTCTTCACAGCAGCAAGCCCCCCCACAGTCTGTTCCTCCTTCTCAGATTCAAGCACCTCCCATGCCGGGACCGCCTCCTCTTGGACCACCCCCGGCTCCACCCTTACGGCCTCCTGGACCTCCCACCGGCCTTCCTCCTGGACCACCTCCCGGTAAGTTGGCATTGCTACATTGTGAGGAAATAACCAAGTCTACCTGTGATCAGAGTGATGAAGTCATTCCAAAAATATACATCATTGGTATCGATGTTTTTTCTTCTCCTAGTATAAGTCACTAAGAGATAAAGGAAGTACAGTTCATTTTTTCCGACCGCCATCTTTTTCTCCAAAGCTCTTCTTTTTTCAGGGTCATGTAGTTGAGGTTAACGGGCAGAAACTGGATATGAAACTAGTGTTTCCTTTAGTACTGTTTTTTAATATGACAGGATGACCCAATTCTAAATTGATGGCTAATGGGACGAGGGCACAGTAAATACTAACTGGCATCCTTCTTTGGTTGGGAATTGTTGGATGTCGGTCTTTAGAAACAAAAGGAAACAGTATTAATATAATCTTTGGCATGTAAGAATGAAAAGGTTATTTGAAATTTGAACTTCATGGTTACTTACAATTTTATAGTCTTTCATCCTATAGTTGTGGTTAGGTTTTCTTCACTTGAGTTCATCATTTTCTGATTGGTCTTGCAAAAGCACATTACCAGTCTTAAGTCATCTTCAGTCATCCTTGCTATGTCTTCCTATGTTTCAGGGGGAATCCTTAAAGCACCCTGCTTTATATTCCATTTTCAGCTTTTAAGAGCCTGTTTAAGAATTATTTTCTTTATACAGTTACTAGCCCAGCAGAGCTGAGCTATTAAAAAAGAAGCAGCAGCAGCTATGCTTTTTGTCAGTACCAGCAAATAAAGAGAAATGATCTGTAACAAATCCAGTTCCATGTCTCTGGTGCTCAGATATTTGTTGAATGAATTCTTTTTCCACCTACGTTTTGATCAGTTTTTGAAGTTATCTGATTTCAAGTTGCCAAGTCAGACCACACTTGAGTTACCTTTATACCAAGTTATGACTTCCTATGTATGTCTCTTAATTTGTCATTTTTCTCTTTGCAGGAGCTCCTCCATTCCTGAGACCACCTGGAATGCCGGGACTCCGAGGGCCTTTACCCCGACTTTTGCCTCCAGGCCCACCACCAGGCCGACCCCCCGGCCCTCCCCCAGGGCCACCTCCAGGTCTGCCTCCTGGCCCTCCTCCTCGGGGACCCCCACCAAGGCTACCTCCCCCTGCTCCTCCAGGTGAACCTTTTGATTTCTAGTACAAAAACTTGACCACTATATATGTCATCTGCTCTAAGACATATTTTCACATTTTAGTTTCCTAAAATCAAGGGGTATCCTAAAATGATGTTTTTTAATTGCTTTTGGCCTAGGTTGAAGTTGAGTTCTTCTACAGGGTATGTGCACTCGATTCTGCTTGTCCTGTGAGGGACTTTTCCCAGGCAGAGACCACTTTGGATAAAATTCGCCATTTGAGTAGAGTGTTTGGGGAGGGGGGAAGCAATTGTGAAGTTATTCCACATATTTCCATATATTTGCATGAGTACAGAGTTAAAGTTTGAAAATAAAAGGCAGATTGCCTTGTGCTCTTATTACATGTGGTAGGTGTATTTCCAGTTCATTACACTGTCCCAGTTTAATGTGAAAACCCCCTCCTAAACTCCCTAGCTTGGACTTTTAGTGGTATCTGGAGTAATAATGAGTCTGTATAAGCAGTAGTATCTTAAGTTCAGTGAAATTTAGTATTTTATATTTGGTCTTAAAAGTGGCATTTGAAGAAAATTAAATCTGCAGTTCTGGGTAAATGACAGTGGTATGTCGGAATCATCAAAGGTTATGAATTCTTTTCCAGTAGTGGTAACATACTATGATTTAGTTACATTCATGTCCTCTAATGGTTAAAATTCCATTTCCTGCCTGTTGGGTTACCTTTTTCAGGGGAGGAATGGTGTAGAAATCAGTAAATAATACAGGAGGATCAAACCCCCCACCTTGGCCTTGATGGCATCTGCACTATACACCTAGAATAAAGTCTTGGGCTGTCAGATCTGAAATTGGACAAATTTGAAATCATACTTGAAACCAGTTGGTATTGTCAACTTTGTATTTAACTTTTTTTTTTTTTTTTTACATTTTATTTATTTGACAGAGATCACAAGTAGTCGGAGAGGCAGGCAGGGAGAGAGGGGGAAGCAGGCTCCCTGTTGAGCAGACAGCCTGATGCACGGCTCAATCCTAGGACCCTGAGATCATGACCTGAGCCGAAGGCAGAGGCTTAACCCATTGAGCCACCCAGGCGCCCCTGTTTAATTTTCTATTTATTTAGTACATTACTCAGGAAGAAAACCTAAGTACAGGGGTACAGATTGAAAGTGAATATTAATTCATAATAAAATATTCCTTAGTATCAAAACATATTCCTGAGTTTCAGATAGTAATAAGCAGCATGGTTTTAGCTTATTATCTGTAAATTGTCAATTTTTAAAAAATTGTCAACCTGTTTTTCACATCCTTTATAGTAGTTACAATTTATCCTCATAGTCTTCCATCTGCCCGTTTTCTCCTTCATTTAGGTATCCCTCCACCTCGTCCCGGCATGATGCGCCCACCTTTGGTGCCTCCACTTGGACCTGCCCCACCTGGGCTTTTCCCACCAGCTCCGTTGCCGAACCCAGGGGTTTTAAGTGCTCCACCCAACTTGATTCAGCGACCCAAGGCGGATGATACAAGTGCAGCCACCATTGAGAAGAAAGCAACAGCAACCATCAGTGCCAAGCCACAGATCACTAATCCCAAGGCAGAGATCACTCGATTCGTGCCCACTGCATTGAGGGTACGTCGGGAGAATAAAGGGGCCACTGCTGCTCCCCAAAGAAAGTCAGAGGATGATTCTGCTGTGCCTCTTGCCAAAGCAGCTCCCAAGTCTGGTCCATCTGTTCCTGTCTCAGTGCAGACTAAGGATGATGTTTATGAAGCTTTCATGAAAGAGATGGAAGGGCTCCTGTAACAGCTTTTAATGCCAGAGCAGGTTTCTGTTCATATCAGTGGTTCGTGGGGGAAGAGGCTCTTTCTAAACTTTGTGAAAGAGTGACTTTCACTGTCAGGGTATTTTTAAATTTCAGTTCAAGGAATATCCTAAAGTTTAGCCTTGTTCAGAATTTATTGCATATAAGAGAGGATTATTTCATTCAGAATAGATTGGTTATTGAAGCAGTGCTGCTAATATCCATTCCCTTTCATACCACCGTTTTCATCCCGTTTGTTCCCCTTCTCCAATTCTTTGGAAACTTGTGATCACGGGGATCTTTGTTACTTACTTGTTTTGATTCTCTTCTTGTGTGCAGTGGGCACTGGAGTAGAGATTTCTGGAAAAGAAAACAGTTTATTTTATCTCATCTTGGCTTTTGTGTTTGAGTTATTTTAATATTTTCTTGTAAATATTTTGTAATATTTTAGTGAAATGGATCGCAGTGTCATTTCCTAATACAAAGCAAGATATGTGGGAAGAAAATGTACAATTCTTTGATTAAAATTATTTCCCACTGACCTAAACTTTGAGTGTTTCGTGAAATAAATAAATAAATGTTCTACACCAAGATATCCTCTGTGTTACTGATAATATGTAAATACGGTATCTGTGTTATGGGTAGAAAAGAAGCAAGTGTTTAAAAATTGTGTTTTAAGGAACTACCATTGCTGGTACACAATGAGAATCTTACTGAAAATATGGTTAAAACTAAGTTTTAAATTTTAAGGGATAAAAAGAATTATTTTCCTTCAAGATTATCATACTTGCTTTGGAGAAATTGAGAGGTTATTAATTACATAGAACATGAATCTTTTCCTTAAAGATTGTTTATTTTTCCAGAGCTCTATAAACTGACACTAATTAACAGGGAAAGCTTGTTTTAAACCATGTGTAAATTATTGGATAGCCAGAAAAGGTTACTTTTACTTTATTGACTTTGTCAGTTGTATAAGCTTTTCTTATTAAAAGACCTGAAATGAAGAATGCTCAGTACTGTTAATTTTCATTGATACCGTTTTCTTTAAAAAGTGCTTTAATAACTAATTCATTTAGGCAGTAATCCTGGGAAATGATTTTCACAGATATTCCCCCATTTTACAGATGAGAGTATTGAAGCTAATGGTTTGTGTGGATTATCCAGTGGCCCAAAGTGAATATTTTATGAACAAAGACGTACACACATGCACAACGAGCCAATGTGTGCATTGGCTTTACACTAGGCTTACCTGGTCTTACTTTCCATTGTATCTTAAACACCTGTCATGTGAATCCCATGTCATCAAAAATCGGTGGTATCCTAAAAAGATAGTACATAACACAATAAGGCTTTTACTTTCTTGCTTTTATTTATCCTTGATGGATATTTAGATTTCTGTGCTAAGATCCTTTGTGTATGAGACTGTTCTTGGAGACTGTTACTCTTTGAGATTAAAGCAAGTCCTGTCAAAGCAGTCTATAGGTCATTTTGGATTTTTTTCTTTTTTTCTGGTTTTTTTTTTTTTTTTTAGTATGATCATTACAGGCCAGTAAGTGAATTGAATTTTTTACCATTTAGATGAAGGGATGGAACACAATTACACCATCATCAAATCAATATTATAATTTAAATGTAAACAATCATTCTTTGGTATTTGGTCTGCAATATTTTTAATGTTCTTGCTTGAAATTTACATTTTTTCTGAGATTTCTGTTTCACATTAAGAAAGCAGTTCACGGTTTATCATAGAGTCATTTCCTAGTATCGTTTGTTTTATTTTCTGAAAAGTCAATTGTAAAATCTGACACTTTCATATGCTAGCTGTATTCACAGGAAAGGGGAATCAGCAGTTCATAATTTGGGTAGATTCGGAGTAGGCATTTGTTGTCATGATCGTAATTGACATTATGATTTCAAAAAAATGGATCACTGCTAAGCTTGATACAAATCCTTAATCAGATAATATGGATCAATACTGTTCGCTTCTCAAGGTGTCACTTTATTATGCATTAATTGCCCCTTAAAGTCGTTTTGAAATTCCTTTTACTCTTTTTCCTGGGCTTTAAGGTATAAAACATGAATTAAGGATCCACAAAAATACTCTTCCATGGTGTGGAGTCAGCGTAAAGCCCTAGATGACCTCCAAAGTTCTGTTTAGATTCAATTCTTATTTGCATATTCTAGTTTGTGCTCTTCATAAACTTGTTTTATTTATACATAGTTGGGAGACATTTTTTAATATTAAACTTTTTTTGCTTCAAGTAATTCTTCAGGCCACAAGATCCCACAATCACCACCCCATACAGAACTGCACACATGTCTTCTAGTCCAACTACAGCAGGTCTAATAGATGAAAATGTTCCTCAGCCAGAACTAGTTCGGAGGACAGGCCTTCTTACAGAACTCCAGAACTCAAAGCTGTCACTGAGCAGAGGTGTAGATAAAATGTCTACACACTCAGTCCTGGGTTAAGGGGGTTATAAACGAGCTGTGGGGAAATTTCCCTGTTCTTTACTTTCCTGGAATTAAGGGCTTTTAACAAAGGTTGGAGCTAGGACTTCCGTGAGACCAAAATTACTCTCCCTACCACAGTTCTCTTTCTAAGGATGCCTTTGAGTTTGGCTGTCAAGGAAAGTAGATAGGACAGAGGGCAGGTGGCTAAGGACTAAGTGAGCAGAGAGGTTTTGGTTGGTCAGCATGCTCAAGTTTGCTGAGGGTTACTAGCCGGGAGAGAGGGACAGGTTGGAGAATGAAAAGAGTGATGGATGGAATGAGCTACCTGAGGGCTTGGGGAGCCCCGTGAGTCATCAACTATTCTGCAGATAGTCACTGAGTACCTGCTGTGAGCTAGGTGCTGGGAAAACAGTGGCAAGCAGAATCAGATGAGGTCCCTACCCTCAGGGTCCTTATGTAAATTTCAAGACATAAGCATCAATGTCTATATCACTTCTCATACCTTGAATACAGTATTTATCAATGCTAATTTTTTAAAAGAATTTAATTCATTTAACCTGTGCTAGTGAACAATTTGGAAAAATAATCTGATGGCTATTATATGCTATCCGCCAGTGAAGACATAATTCATCAGAACTTTATAGTCTTTTTACATTTTAAAAGCCTTTAAAAGTTCTTAAAAAATGGAAATGTTTTCTCTGAAATATCAACCGATGACCTTAATGGTGCTACAACAAAAGATAAAACATTAAAAAATAAGTTTGCAAAGAAAAGACCATGAATTCCCCCAAGACACTGTTTTTCCTTGACCTGTTATCCTATTCAAATGTTATTTCCCCTCATTAGGCATCTGAATCCTAAAAATTAGCTGTCTACTATTGCAATTTACCCTAATGAATCCTTATTTAGTAAGAATTTAGTTAAGAATTGCATTTACAGGAGATAACTGAGAAATAGGAGAATTGACACTTTAAGAATGCAGTGAGATGAAAAAAAAAAGTGTTTTAAGGATTTGTATAGCAGAGGAAAATGAGAATCCAATAGTGTTTGTATCCATAGAATCTCAAGAACAATTAGAGTCTGAGGAAAAACAGACTTAACTCCATCCTTACCACTGCACCCAGCAAACTTGGCTCCAATAAAATGGGGAATGAGGTAGAGAAAGATGGTAACAGCCAAAGTTCAGGCAGGGAAGGGGAAAACATGAATATAGATAGCTCTGAAATCTTACCTGATTTTATAAAATGCACTACCCACAAATGAAAAGGCCGTGCTATTATGAAAGTTGGGACTTCTTTTCTGGGAGTTAATAAAGGTTGCCATATTTAGGGACTTACTGCAAAACAAAAACCAAAACAAAAAACTTCATACTTTCAAATAATAATTGTCGGCTTTTTAGAGTGCTAAGAGAATAAAAATGCAGGCAGAGGACAAATCCAGCATCTCCTATGACCATTCCTATTGCTGAGTAACCCACATCACAAGAGGAGCGATTGTAAAATCTGTATTTGTACTCTGAGAGTTTAATCATAAAATACATGTTCATGAAAAAACTTAATACCATATTTCTGAAGAAAAATTAGTAGAAAAATTCAGTGATTTAAAAAGATGCTTTGTGTTCACTTGGCTTTTTATTTTATATTTTATTTGTTTCCACTATTAGACTAGAACAGGGATCAGCAAACTTTGTGTAAAGAGCCAGATGGGAAGTATTTGGGGCTTTGTGAGCCCTACAGTCTGTCACGATTCAATACCGCTTTCATAGTGTGAACTCTGCACTGCAGGCAGGCGGCCTGTCACACTCCCTGACCTCAAAGAAAGGACTACAGGAGATCAGCTCCGGGAGGTGGGGGTGTAAGGTGGTCTGGGCACTGCTGAAGCCCAGAGGCCTGGAGTGTGATTTCCCTGGTAGGAGGCTGCAGGAAGGTAGTCCCCAGAGTGAGTGGGGGCTGCCAGGTCACAGAGAGACTGTGCATTCTGGACACATGGCTGGGGTAGACTGTCATCTGATGACCTCACACCTCACCACTTTCCCACCACTACCACTGGCAGCCTGAGCCAGCAAGAGCTGTCCCCTCCTCCTGCAAAGTCCTTCTAGTGCCTTCTACTGAGAGACTAACACGCTTACCAAAATGGAAAAATGATTAAAGGAATTCTGCCTCTTTTCTCAGAGCAGGTACTGAAGTTTGAAAGTGGGCCTCAGAGGCAAGAAATTTATAACTGGCATACGTGAGTGCAAAGAGAATCCAGTCTCCTGTCACAACCTACTTACAAAATTATTATAGTACCAATTCCTTTGACAAAAACAAATGGAGTATTTCTCAAGCTCCTTCTGCCAGGTAATCAGTTAGGCGCTGTTAGCTGACGTGTACCAGCTAACGATAAAAGGCTTTCTGGGTGGTCATTTTTGTTCTTAAAACATTGCAAGAGAGCCCCGGAGTCCGTCAACTAGAACAAAGCTAAGAACTAGGAGGTAAGCAAAAGCTGCTCTGAGAAACTGACAGACAGTGGTACTCACTAAAATCCTCCAACGATTCTTCTACAATTTCCAGCCTTCTCTGCAGTCAGATGAAACGGGGCTGGCTCTACTCAAGGGGCTGAAGCAAAGAAGAGTGGGCAACAGTTTCCTATGCTTCTGCATCTGCTGCTGGAAGGGACAGAAGGCTGAGTGGCATGTACATGAAAAAATGGCAGAACAGTCTGGAATCTCTACGTTTTATAGATTTCGTTTAAGGTCTACTCTCGTGAGAGGTTCAGGAACACGCGGATCTCATCTGCTCTGTTTGCTCTTGCTAGCACTCTCTGTAAGTCAAGGGTTTTGTTGGGGGGTGGGGGGATAAACTTTGTCATGCCAAGCAAAGCCCAGTTACTTTCTTCCCCTATGGCATTGGGCACCTGCTCACTTAGTGCTTGGATGACTAAGAGCTCTGGCCCTCCAGAGCCCCTCTTTACATGTATCTACTCTGTTCAAAAGCCCTAAAAGACTGAATTGTCGAGATTGCATCAGGGGGCCTTTTCTGTCTTTTGGCTCTCCCTTGAGCTGGCCAGTGAGAAGCAAGATACTGGAGGAAAGGAGGAAAATGAGGTCATGGGAAGCTGTTTGGCTTTCTTAGATTAGACTACCTTGATTCTTCTAGTCAAGCAGGCCCCCTCCACACAACCTTCCCCTACAACGTCTGGTGAGCACTCCCTCCTTTCACTCCATCACACCTAGGCATGGTCATGGAGCCCAGCTGTCCCTAACCTCCTTCCAAGTGGTTTCCCTGCACACTATGCACATCACTATAAATAAGCCCATTATTACACTTTTCTCAAATCACCGCATTTGGCCATGCCATCTGTTTCCTGGCAGGATCCTGGCTGATTGAGCTCCTGATGTATTGAATAGACTTATGGAATAAATAAATACTATATGAAAGAGGGAAAAGTCCCTGAACACAGATAACAAACGAGGTAACACCATAAAACTCTCAGAGCAGCATCTGGCACACGGTAAATAGAATGCACTTCCAGAATAACACTTGGTTTCAGAATGAGACCAGGGCTCTGA